GTGTGTGTGTGTGTGTGTGTGTGTGTGTGTGTGTGTGTGTGTGTGTGTGTGTGAGTGTATGTGTGTGTGTGTGTGTGTGTGTGTGTGTGTGTGTGCGTGTGACCAGAAATATATAACATATAGAACAACACAAAAGACAGAACACGACAACATAGAGAACAACATACTTAATGTAATAAGGCACAGATAAAACAACATACTTAATGTAATAAGGCACTTTGTTTCCAGCCACCGCTCGCTCCCACGGACTGTCCACAGAAGCTGAAACAAAAACAACATTTAAAAAGCCACATAAAACAACTGTACAGATAAAAGTGCTACTTTTTCATTAAACTTTTGAGAAAACTTTCATTCTTTTGTGACGTCAAAACTACAAAAGTTTTCAATTTGCAAATGCTATGACAACACAGAATAAAAGGTCTTTAAAAACATTTCCGCCATATGTGTATGTAATGGCTTCATACTTCTTACATCATCTGTTGATATCTAAATTAAAAAACTCTAAAATAACCTCAAATCTAATCATCGGGGCATTTAAAGTCAATATAGAGCTTTCATTACCCATTGTAAATTCCTGAGAATATATACAATGAAAAGTACATTTAAAAAATGCACGAGTAATATTTGACAGACTTCCATACACCAAATACGACATATAAGTTTTTAATAAGTTTCCTAATCTTCACCATACAAACAAATGAAAGATGCAGATTTTGGAGTTTGCCTATTGAAGTTTAGATCATTGGCTCAAAAGCTGTAAAGACACAACATTCACCTACAAAAAAATTTCGACAGACATGAGACATGAACTAAGGTGTATAAGGCAATAATTGTTATGTTCCCACTGCAAATAATTTTTTACTGTATGCAAAACCATATCTCACCTGTGAGGAAGTGTTGAGAGTTGGGACCATACGCATTCAGAGCATCTTGTAAATGTTGCAGTCGATCTTGCAACATCTGGTTCAAGCTAGCCCATCTGAAAACCCCCCCAAAAAATCAATTCACAAAATTACAGAATTTCATTCCATTGTTGCGTTCTCTCAATCCTATTCTCACCTACCTCAGCTTATCCAGCAAAAGGATTGACCCTCATTGTAAAAATTGGGAAAACTGTTGATATAGAAATTGTAAAGACCATTATGGTGGAAACATTAATGTTGAATAGGAAAGAACCTTTTTGTGAAAATTGTAAAGACTATTCAAGTAGAAAATGTAAAAACTTTCTGTCATATACTTTCTGAGATGCTATCACCAACATTTCATTACCCATAAAAGGTGTTTCTTTTGTGTGACCATCTAGGAGGTTCTCTTTCACACTCAGAAATCGTGAACAGAGAAAAAACCAACCATTCAGCCCATCGCTTCCCCAACTGCTCAATGTTGCCTCAGAACCACATAGAAAAGGCACAGTGCTTCATTCCAATTCCTTAACAGCACTCTTTTTTCATGCCAGAGCATTCTGAAAAGTCATTCTGTTTTTCCTGAACACACGCTTAGAATTTATGAGCCTTTTTTTAAAAACACACTCGGATTGCATTTCACAAAAACATTATTATCCTTTTACAAGATTACATTTTCAGTGTTGCAAAATTCGAGCATAATTAGGCTGAGCACCTCTGAGAGAAGTCCTCTAGTCTGTGGACGTTGTGGTGGGATAGGATGACGTGGTTTTCCTGGAGGCGGTTGGCCTGGTCTGTGACGTCATCAACCTCTCCTTGGAGTGGAAACTTCAGCTGAAAGCTCTGAGGGAAGACAAAGTTCAAGTATAAATTTGAGTTTTGAGGAAGACAAAACTGAAGGAAAAATTTGAGTTATAAGGAAGACAAAGTTCAAGCATAAATTTGAGTTGTGAGGAAGACAAAGTCGAATAATAATTTTGAGTTGGCTGTAAGACAAAATTGATGGACTAATTCAAGTTTTGAGGAAGACAAAGTTCAAGGATAACACATTGTCATGCTGGTGTCCTTGCTCAAGTACCCTCTATCATATAGCCTGGGAGCTCAATAGTAGAAGATAAGCGTGAACTGGGTACATGTGAAATGATTATGAAAAATAAGTATGAACTAGATACTATAAAATATGTGTTAACTAAATAATGCGAAATATGTGTGAACTGAATAATGCACAATATAATGCAAAATGTGTGAACTGAATACTATAAAATACCTGTGAACTGAATGCTATAAAATACATATGTGAGCTGAATAATGCAAAATAAGTGTGAACTGAATACTATAAAACTGTGTGAATAAGTGAATCAGTACGTACCTTCGTCCTGTCAATCTCTGTCTGGAGTTCCCCGATGATGATGTCACCAACGTTCGGCCAGTCCCTCGTCTCTCTCTCGGCGGCC